CCCTGTTCTCTGAAAATGCCAGTCACAGATGCTGGCGAAACGTTAGGAAACAAAACTTCCAGAACACGGCCACACAGCCCTGAAGAGCCACACCAGCCATCGTATTCCGGCCGTGAAAGTCTTCGACAATACATCTTTTACCTCACTTTTTAAAGCACTGACACCCTTTTGGATCTTTTTACTAGTTTTAAATTATGCTTTTAAAATGTTAATTACTCACTTTGGTTATGTTGTGTTGAGCAGTAGGACACTCCTGAAATAAATTTGGAAAGACAAATTGAAATCTTCAAGTGAATAAAGACAAAAAAAGAACTTAAAACAAGAAGCATTTTCTTTATTCACTTGAAGATTCACTTGAATTGTTACTATGTGTCTTCTACTTTCTTCCTATCTTTTCAATTTTTAAAAATGACTTATGGTAAACAGAGTCTCACCAAACACCTAAGGCTAAGGTGTTATCCTGGACTGAGATAAGCTGAGTCCATCATAATTAGTATCGGAAGGGGGACTGCTCAAAAATCTCAGGATTCTCCACCTCCGGAAGTTTTTAAGAGGCATACAGCCACCTCTCAAGGATGATTTAATTGGTTTTCCTGCCCATTGCTGAGGGTTGGATGAACATCCTTGTGGCCTTTTCCAACTTCATAATTTTATGGCTGCTGGCTCAACAGGAGAATTTTTTAAAAATTCCAGAAGAAATGAATGACAACCCAGAAGTCAAATTCAACTTTAAGTCTTTACATTCGATAGTAAACTACCACAGAAGAACTGAAAAGTTCTGAAATTAGATCTCTCAGTTTAGATTTTTAAACTTCAAGTCTATTTCCACAATAGTCTAATAGATGTGCTAAGCTGAATGTAACTGGTCACTGATTTTAACCCAAATTTTTCCATTCCTTGTTGCTTGGGAACAGAAATATTATATGTTGATCCCCAGAAGAACACAGGAGGCCTTCAGATGGTCCCTTTCATCTTCTTTGATGCTTCTCCTCCTACCTGAGTTGGAGTTTCTGCTAGTCTTCTGATTTCACCAGGAAAGGGAGGTGATCCTAAAATTACCAGTGATATTGTTCCATTCCCTGTGAGAAAGGCAAAAATGAAAGAAGCAGAATTTGTAAAAGCATAATTAACTAACACCTAGGAAGATATTATAGACAAAGGATGAGTGATAGCTTGAATCTGTCTGGGGAACTTCACATTGTTTGGAAGACCACTCCCTTACCTAGTAAGATGCCAGAATTTTGATCATCTTGGGAGGTCCCAAGCTCTTGAGAGGGATTTGAAGGATCCCTCCTTCTCTCAGGAAATTCTGGGACCATCTGCAGGAAGGATCCTTGGACCTAAAAGGTCCAAGGAATAGAAATGAGAAAACAGCACAAAAGAAGTGGATTCTCATTCTTGGCTTACAACTTTGTAGTCCCCAGTGTCCATCAATAGGGATGGAGGAGGACAATAAAATAATTGCCCCAAATACACCCTCTAGAAAGAACAATGGAGCAACTAACAAATGTTAGTTAAATCATCTCGTACATTGTTTAATGTCAGAAAACTCTGACAGAAAGAGTGGAGTCCTTGGGGTTCTCTGAGCTTGGTTGTTTTCTTGCAAATGTTTCATTCCCCGGCTAGTTAACTTCTTCAGTGCTAAAATGGGATGGGGTTTGCTCCCTATTTATGTGCTGTGGCCTGCCCTGCCAGTGTTGGTGGGG